ATAACTTACCTCACATTCATCACACCACCATGTTCTTACAAATTTCGAAATTCAAATTTGAATGAGCTCCAAAATTTTCATAGATTGCCAAAGTCCAAATAAGCAGAAAGAATTGGATTGAATCCAAGTTCAAATTTCATGCATGAGGAGTTACTAAATTCTCATACACTAGTGCATCCTCCTAATCGGAATGATGCATTTGTCACACTAATCTTCCCTCCTCATCTCTCTACATCACGCCGGCCTCATCAAGGGGGAAATCCATTATAATTGCTAGTTTAAATGCCATCAATCCTTGATCCAAAATTCAAATTTCAAAATAACCCCCTTAATTTCATTCATAATCTGAAATAATTTCAGATTATTGAAATGAAACTCCCATTTTCCCTCTCTTGAAAACGCCGGCCTCCTCCCCTCTTGGCTCCCCTCCATTAATTCCCCCATTCAAGCAATTTAATGCCTATGACTATGAAATTCAAAATTTAAGTCTTTCCCCTCCAATTTAATCAAAACTGAAATTAAATGTCATTTTTATTAATCTCCCTTAATTCCTTCCAATCCACTACTCCTAAGTAAGGAAATTAATTCAAACGCTTCCCCTACCTTTGCTGGCCGATAAATTCCCCACCTGTTGGCTGATTTTTCCTTCCCAAAATCCCTTCCAAAACTCCAGGAAAAAACTTCTGCCCAAACATCTCAAGATTTGCTGTTGGAAATTCTGCAGCAAGCCCCGACCGGTCCACCAATTCCCAGGGAGCGATCAATTGCTGTCCAGATCTCTACAGGGACAGCCCTTCCTTCCTGTCTAATAGGTTTCCCTGAGCACAATAGTTTGCTATCTTGTGTACCCACAGCAAACTAGGGTGCTGTGCCAGCGTCCAGAACCAGTCCTAGTGCTGTCCTAGGAATCTAGTTCGTCCAGCCCGCCCGAAGAACAACCCCATTGCTGGCTGAGTGAGTTTCAGAAGTTTGAAGCTGACTGTCCCTTCATCCGCAATCATCATTAGCTTTCATAACTCCTTTTTTTTGGGGTAAACTCTTCAACTCATCTCTATCTTCTGAGTTACTTTACTCGTGGTTATAATTTGATTCACAAAGCGCATGTTTTATCGCCTCCGCTAAACTTAGTATTTGAATGATTGTCAGGAGCCCTTCATAATACATATCTATTGTTAGCATTGGAATTTCTTCGTTGAAACACTCTGTATGCAAAGTAAGACTTAGTGACTAATTTAATGATTCTTCAACTCTCGCATGTGTTTAGACCAAAGTATGGAGTTTACACCTTATCATTTTTATTTTGTTTGTTTATCATTCAAGCAGAAAGCTTATAATTTATTGCTGCCTCAAAATTTTAAGCGTGCAAAATTTCCTTAATTTAATTCAATTCCATGCTAATACGTTTTACATCATGATCGCTCTTATGTTTTGATCCATTCGTTTTATTTGCTAATAGTTCTATTTATATTTTCTCTAATCAATAAGTTGTGTAAGCTCTTAATAAAAACCATTGCAAGCATATAATGTCCTTACATCAATTGTAGTCCTGCATCAACATTTTTAGTTGGTACACGTCATGGATGGGATAGAGTTCAAACAGTAGCAAAAATTTATGCTAGTTCGTCCAGTTAGACAACTTACTACTTCTCAATTTTATCCACTATATTCAATAATGACAAAACAAAATATTTTGATTAGTTTTCTCATTCTTCACAGACCAAAGATTCCATTATAAAGTGCCTATGAATTTTCTCTTATCTTTTAGATTAAATTCAACTACCTAAAATTAGGGTGTCAATTTCAGGTCACAGGTCGGTTCGGTCGAACCGAAACTGACTTTGACACTATTCGGGTCAACTCGACCCGACCCGTTTCGGCAAACGGGTCGGTTTTTCGAACCCGAATCCGACCGCTTTGGGTCCGGGTCAACCGACACGACCCAAATGACTCGGGAGGACTAAAAATTGCTAGTTTTTTGAGTCAATAAAACAGGTCAATTTCCGATTTTCGAATCAAAAGCGAACGCGTCAATCTCAGGTTTTCGGGTAAAAAAACGGTCAATTTCGGGTTACTGGTCAACCCGAACCAGACCTAATTTTTTTTTTTTAAACGGTCGATTTTCTGAACCGACAAACCCGTTTGGGTCCGGTTGACCATAACCCAAATTTTCGAACGCATTCGAAGTTGGGTTTTCGGGCCGTGTCAAATATTGACACCCCTACCTTAAAATAATTAATGCCTTTGCAGAGGTTAATGCTACAAATCATGAACCGTTCTCTTCCACTCGGTGAAATGTTAGAAGTAAATTACAAGGTTACTCTTTGGTAACCTGAATAAGATAAATAGAAACTTGTTCCACTTGAAAAAAAGACGTCTAAAGAATACCATTTCGTTTGAAGTGGCCAGGAAGTTCTTGTGATAAAAACATTACTGGGATGACTGGTTATATTGCACGTAAAAAAAAGACAACGCCTCCAGTTCACCAAAATATGCATGTTAAATGATGATCATAATACATTCAATACATATGAATGTTCCATAATATTAACTACACTCTATAGGCATGCGACTCTTTTAAGTCCCTAAATGAAGATGGATTGAACAGTAAAAAACAATTGTATTATCTTCATTCAGGCCTTAATGGAAATACAGCGTACAATCCCAAATATTCAATAATAAAGGCCAGGTCTAGGCAGAGAATTGCGTCCCCCTTGATGAGTTTAAGGTCACGTACTGAAGTTATGAAAGGGAACCTCTCCTTTCTTACCAATTGCATAGATTAACGACCATTCTAGAGCCCCATATTGATATGATCCTCATTTCTCGGCTATGCCCTTTTTTCTTATTAGGTTTATGGAAGGATGCAAGTCTACATATATCTGCTTCATGATTAATTCTCAGAGAAGATCATCAGATGAATAATGCAAATTCAACTAGCAAAAAACCAATATGATAGTCTTCAGAAATTTGCAGAAAAAAGATCATAATGTAAGGACGAATTTGAACATTTTATTTAACTGAATCCTTACCAGTTACTCATTCTTGAATGATTGTCATAAGATTCGAAAATGGCTCTGCCAAGAAAACACACAATAATGTCACCAAAAGCTCTCCATGTCTCGCTTTCTTATATGTAAAGGGAGCCTAAAAAAATCACATTTAGAAAATGTTAGTGCAGAAGAAGGGAAAAAAGTTCGCAAGTTTTACAAAAAAAAGTGCATCCTAACTAGGGTTTGTAAACGAGTCGAGTCGAGTAAGGGTCTTATCAAGCTCGGCTCGAACTTGAGCCCGTCCACTGTAAACGAGCTCAAGCGCTCGCGAGTCTCGACGGGACTCTTTTAATATTATTAATTATATTTATTTGAATATTTAAATTTTATTAAATATTTTAAACATTAATATTAAAATTATTTTGTATTATTAAATATTTTTTAAACATATTATTTCTATTTTAAAATATTTAAATTTAATAAATAAAATAAAATTATTTAAAAAATATTAATAATTATTCGATCCGGCTCACGAGCTCACGAGCCGAACCTCATAAAGCTCGACTCAAGCTCGTTTAGTTTGAGCTTGAATCTCTCTTCCCCTTGTCTTTGTCCGCCCAAACGGGCGGGCCCCACTCCTAGTGTTTTGAAAATCAAACAGAGGGGGCGGTTTATGCTTGGGAGGAAAAACTGATTAGGAAATATTTTGTATTCAAGAGGATGAGGGGGATTAGGGGTTTTTTCATATTTTGATTGATTGAGAATTAGGGTTTCTTGGCATTTGGGTTCTAGACTCTCTTGTCTAGAGATTTGGGAGAGATGATCCTCCTCTCGAATTGAGGATCGTTTTGGGGCTGATTTCGCCTAGATTTTGCTTTATTCTCGTTGTTTTTCTCCAATTAGTGATAGGTTTGCTTGCGAACTCAAGTATTGCCTTAGGGTTACTTGAGAACTCAAGTATTTCCTATCATATAATTCATATTCTTCTCAAATTTGTGTTTGTTCTATTGGAGCTTGATTCTTTGAGCGTGTCGAAACTTGTGATGACAGTTTTGGTGAAAAGCTTTCTCTTTGTATTAGTTAAGGTCGAGACCTTCTTGATTACTTCTATCTTTATTCTTTTCATTTATGCACTTTGAAAGTGGTTTTTTCTTGTGCTATTAAAATTTAGTGAATTTTTCTATACTATGGTTTTCTTTTTGTTTAGTAAGTCTTGAACCTCACATAGTTTAACTGTTTCGTTCTTAGATTTCATATTTAATTGATGGTCTTTAACTTAACGTTTTGTATCCAATCTATTTCTTCTATTTTTTCTATTTTCTCTCAAAGAGGTGTAGTTTTGCCTATAATATTTAATGGACTGAGATTTTGATTTATGGTGCGTGTTGTTATCTCTTTTTAGATTGGTATTAAACAATCATAGACCCTAAGACATCTTAAATCACCAAACTTCTAAGCATGTCAAGTTTCAATCTGAAAGCTTCTAAATATTTTGGAAAGATTTTCTAAGAATCCGAGCTTCAAATTGAGATTCTTAAAACAGTGAACTGGAAATTGGGGAAGAAATTACGAAGTGAACGTAAGCATAATCTCCTGATGCATGAATGGAACTTTCACTGACTTCCAAATTAGAAAGGAAAGGGAACCAGCAGGTTCTGCAGCAGTTGCATTAATTACGTCTCCAACAACTCTTCTTACCTTGGCCCTGGCCTTCCAAACCTGCCCTTCAGTAATGGATCTACAATAAAATGCTGACATCCCCATTTTCAGTATCTGTAGTTGCTGCTTTAAGGGAATGTGTATATTCACTTGTTGTTACCAAAAGGCAAAATATAACCTTTAAATCTTCGTACTTCTGGAAGTGCTGAAATCCATTTGTGATCTGTTGCAACAAATTTAAGATACTTGCCAATCAGTAATCGTGGAATAATGGAACTCTATTTATTTTCTCTGCATGCAATAGCTTGTATCGTAAATGACTAGTCATTCTCTATGACTTTTTTTTGCCAGGTTAAAAGTCGTTGCATGTGGTGTCCCTAGCGATAAGAAATGTTTTACTGGTAAAGTTACGGCTGGTTTGGACCACTTGTGCTTGCTGCTGATGCTTTTTTCTATATATATATTTTTTAGGAGATGCTTTAGGATGCTTTCTTTACCTTTAACTCCAGTATAAAAGTAGCAAAAAAAAAAGGCTTTAATCAGTGTTTGCAGGGGTTTTGTTGGGGTCAGCATGGCTTCTTGAATTGTCTTTTCATGTATGTTAAATTACAATCACCAGAATACTGTAGATAGATGATATAGAGCTTGAGAGTCCAGACACCTAATGCCCTATTATGACTAGTTCTTGGATGATATGGAGCTTGAGAGTCCAGACATGAAATCCTCCATTTTTTTTAGGGAAGATAAACCCTCCATTTTTAAGAGATATGCTTATCACATCATCATCATTAGCCTTATCATATTTACTTTTCTTTGGTTTTATGATTACTACTTCTCATTTTTTTGCAGAGTGCTATATTTTGTACAAATCTTTAATATAACTTATGTTAATGGTATCTTTGGTGTATAACTTTTTCTTTTTAGGTTTTCAACGTTAGCTCCTTCAGCTCATTTCATGAAGAGCTTATTTTGTGCTGTGTCCGAATGCGTCCAGAGGCTAATCCGAACATGCCTCATCACCCAGGGTGATGTGGCGTGTCCGGATTGGCCTCCAGACGCATCCAGACGCCGCACAGAATATTTTTTCCATTTCATGGGTGCATTATCTTTTGCTTCCTAGTTCTTCGCTACTAATTTTATCAATTCTTTTCATGGTGTAGTATATACCCTCCATTATATATATTCAAATCAGTTTCTATTTCCTTATCTATAATAAATGTTAATGTTTTATCATGATTAGGTTGCTTCACATGTATGGTAACTCCTAGAATTTGGATTAATTATTCTGTGCGGACTTTGAATGCTGTTCGGAGGCCAACCAGAATGCCCAACGTTATCCCTTCTCTCGGTATCGCGGCTCAGTACTACTCGGTACTGCTGATATGACACATTTTGATTGATCTTCGGATGACATTCTACGACTGAACTTCGCACAAAATAATTTCTCCTAGATTTGAGCTATAAGTATATGATGAAGGAATTAATATGTAGCTATAAGCCAAGGGGAGTTAATTGCTAGAAACACTGACATTTTATGGTACGTTGAGAATGGTGGAGTTGGGCAGACCAGTTCTGACTCCTGACCCCTGCTTGTGAATTTAGCGGCTTCTGCTGCAGCTATCTCTGACTGTACAGTCACTTTCCCCATTAGTAAAGTGGTAGAAGTAAATGATGAGCACGTGACAAAAAGCTACGGCTTGGGAAGGCATCCAAGGTTGCTATTACTTGATTATTTTGGGAAAATTTTGGCCTCAGAAAAAAAATTTTTTTTTTCGGCCGCAGAATATATTTCTATGCTTAGGCTTCACTCGGGATGGCTTTCTTAATTTATTTTTTTTAATAAAAAATTTTTAATTTTTATACTTAAAAATTATTTTAAGAAATACTTAGTTAATACTTCATTTGGAATATTTTTCTTAATATTTTTTAAAGTTATTTTTCATATAGAAATTTTGATTTTTATATTAAAAATTTATTTTAGAATAGTAATAAAAGCATACCAAATGAGGCCTTAGTTTAGAATTCAGGACATTATTAAATTTTTAGATTATTTATTTACATTTAGTTGGACGTTTTTTTAGTTCTTTGACAATGATAAAAGGGCAAACTAGTTTTAATTCAATTATTTGTTATTTTCATCATTTTTTTTTAGTAGCTGTTCGTGTAATTCGTTAAAATGAACAGAAGTCTTGATATAAAAAAGCTGTAAATTAACAAAAAAAAAAAAAAAAGAATGTCATAATGGTTGATAATGATGAATTTCCATATAAATAGTGGTGTTGTGATTTTTCATACCTACGGTTGTTTTCAGTAGAATTCAAAAGGTTATAAGCCATGTATTACACAGCTCAACTTGGTCTGTTGATTGGAAGCTTAGGTTGCCAACTAAGAGGTTTAGAATTCGAATTTTGTTTGTGTGATCTATGTGTGAATTTGTCTTAATTGACCTAAACGTTTATATATATATATATAAGCCATGTATTGCTGCACAAAGCATGCAAATCATGATTGAATCAGTTGAATTCATGTCACCAAAACGTTTGGATATAAATCTTTAGGAGATGCTTTGGGGTTATATTGTTGGTTGCATTTTGAGTATATCATGAATTCATCAATTTGAAGGTAGTTTTAAATACACAATTTTAATAAAAGTGATGATGACCATCAACGACTGCTCATTGCTATGATCGTTGACCATCATGATCGTCACAACGAATTGTTGCTACCCAAGGCTAGGTTTAACTGTCACAATTGCTAATTATCATAGACCTTTGGTCATTGTTGTTGGTTGTCATTGTCACCCCTTGCTAATCATCATGCGTTGTCGTAGATTCTCACTTACAATCACTAAGTGCTATTAGTTACAACTGGTTGCCTTTACATCTGGTCATTGTCGACTATTGCCATCACCTGTCCTCTGCTATAATCTTTATTGTTGGGTCATCTTTGATCAATTATTATTTTTAATGTACAGTCATTTTATTTTGGATTCCCTTCAAAACATTATATATTTAATGCAAATGATTTCTATTTAAAGATTAAATAGCACTCATTTTTAATTGCTGATTATATTTAATTCATCATAATAAAATTGCAATTCTATTTAACAACCGATTAATCTTAGTAATTAGCAACTCTTCATTATTAATAAGTAATTGTACCTAAATTTTTTATTCTAAGCTAGTAAAAAGCTGTTGCTTGGTCCAATTGTTGAGTTGTATAATGTTCTAAAATTTCTATTTGGAAGTTCTTTTCTTCCTTAAATTTAAGCTTTCAAAACTTTTTTTTCTTTTGAAGTACCCCTTCACTAAAGGTTGAATTAGTGTTACTTCAACTGGTGAGAATGACTCATTTAGGAGCAAAATCCCTTTGTAAAGATGTAGGATTTTGAAGTTCGGGTTCATGTTCAACATAATGTAGAAATTTATAAAGCATAAATGATTGATCCTTTTATATGAATCATTTTTTGAATGTTTAAGAAGGAGAGTTGGATCTAGAGCTGTTGAGATGGTGATATATTTGAACCTAGAAGATATATAAAGAATGAACCTATTAACTTATTTACATACATGACTAATGACTCATGCATGGTCTTCAAGTCTACAAGCTTCATGCAACTAAGTTGAAAAAGTAACTTTCCTTCAACAAGTTTTACAAAATAAGAAGCAAAGATCAAAGAAATTTCTCTTATCAATAAGTTTGACTTGACGTAAAACATAAGATTGAAGAAGAGATCTTAAAATATAAATCAAAACTCAAGGTTGAATTGTGTGTGTGTGTCATCATTAATAATTTCATCAAAATACTGAGCGTTGAATTAATGACTTCACCACTGGCCTAACAAGCTTGAGAGCTAGGTCATCAATGTGCATCATTTACCAAGTTCGCTAAAATATAAACATTAAATTAGTTTGACTTGCCTATATCCAAAAGCAATTGTAAGACTTCAACAAGCCTTTTAAGTTAATATGCAACTTCAATCAAATGTAAGTATAGAAATACATGCCTATATGTGCTAAAGTGCAAATTACACTTTGCATTGACATGTATGAACAATCCCAAATATCTTTAAAGCAAAACATTTGTTAACCTCTACGTACACTTTTAAAATTGAAAATGATCAAATATAAGACATCAAATGTGAGAGCAACAGTAGAAGATGAATACAACATCGCAACGAATCACCTCAATTCAACATCTATCTCAAAAAATAGACATCACTGATTGTCTAATTAAAATGTTAAAAATGTCTAAGAAAGATCTCATATTACTCAAATTATCTCATAAGAATAATCCAAGGAAACTTTACACATACGAGTAACGAGAAGTTTTTCTGGGCAAGTGCACACACGTGCTATCAACTATTATATATCACAACAATAATAATAACATATATAATAATAATAATGATGATAGTAATCAAAATAAATGATAATAATAATATTCTAAAACTATAATAATAATAATCACTATCAAGAAAGCATTAATACTATAAAATGTTGTCATCTTTTATTTAATAATAAGCGCTTATATATGTATATTTTTTCACGCACACGTCAAGTACTCCAACCCTTTCACGCCTTAACCTTCCGATCTCCTTTCGTCTGAATCCAACTCTCCGATGCAATGCAAAAACCTCACGCAACTTCCCCACATTTCCTACTACTCTTCACTCTCATAATCCCAAAGCCAACGGCGACTCCCCTCTCCAAGCCACAAATCCATCGTTAATTGCCCACCTAAAGGCTTCTTTGGAGCAGTTTCTTAATATTTTATGAAGCACCTTTCAACAACAACAACAACAGCATCATCATCAGGAGCTTTTATTACGTTCTCTGATCGGACGTAACTCTATGTTTGATCAGAGGATTGTTACTCAGTTTTTGCTCGGTATTTGGTCGGTATTGCTAGGTATTGTTTGGTAATAACGAGGAATACCGCTCTGTGAAGACCAACACTGTGTAATACCGAGTAATCACAAAAAATACCGAGTTCTTCTAGAAAAATTCGGTATTTTTTGGGATTACTCGGCATTTTGTCTTCACATAATGGTATTTCTCGTAATTGTTGGTATTGCTCGGTATTTGCTCGGTATTTCTCGTTTTGTGCCTGCGATCTTAGTGTCGGCCGAACGTAGCTCTACGTACGTTCACGGGACCAAATAAAAGTTCCATCATTAGGCCTTAATCTCGTTACATGGGGTCTCCATTGTGTTATGTTAAGAGTCAAATTCTCATTTAAATCTAATCAAGAAATGCCATTTCTGATATTTTCTAACCAAGTCATTTTAAGTATACATATGACTTTCTTAATATAGGCCAAATCTAATACATCTACTCTCCTAAAAAGGTCATCGGAAGGTTACTATTTTACATGGCTAAAACATCTAAGGTGGCTTTCTCTAATCTTATATGTCATTAGAGTTACTCCAACCTTTTCACGTATATGTTCGTTTTGTATTATATCTCTAAAGAGTAAATCTACTCATCCACCTGAGCTAACATCCTCATCTTAGCAACACTTAACTTAATATTATGCTTCTCTTTGAAGCACCTTTCTCATATAAAAATTTCTTGAATTAAAAATTTTTATGCTATGCCTTAAAAAAAATTATATTTGAAAGTTGTTTTAAAAAACAATAAAAAAGCTATCTCGAAGTAAGCCTAAGGCTTCGTTTGGGACGGCTTTTTAATTGCTTTTTAAAACAGAGTTGTAGTACAAATTTTTAAATTTTTGTTCTAAAACTCCGTTTTAGAAAGCAATAAAAAAGCCGTCCCAAACGAAGCCTAAGTCTATTTGCAACAAGTTTCTCTTTGCTTTTTTTCTTCAAACAACTATTATAATTTCATTTGGATTTTTAATTAATTTTTAGAAATTTATGTAGTAGAAAGCTAGTTTAAGGTTTTATTTGAGATAATTTTCTAACTTCTTTCTAATGTATTTTTTTAGTAATTTTTTTTTTTAAGTAGCAAAAAAATAATGACAAAAAATTATCACAAATGAAACCTTAATTACAAGAATAGCTAAGAATTTTTTTTTTTCTTATCACAACTTTATATCATAAAAAATTGTATCATCCCAAATAAGATTTTAATTGTACCATCATCGTCGGCATGAAAATAAGATATATAGTTGTAAAGTTTTTATAAAAATATTTTTTTGAAAATCATTGTAAATATTATAAATATTTTACAAATATATTTGTAATATTTTTTATAATAATTATATTTTAATAGGTCTTATTATAAAAAAATATTTCTCATCATAGACATCATCAATTATAAATTAAGGAAATTATAATAAAATTATATTGCAGAAGTATCCAATGCTGGCGTTGAAGACCAAGTTGGTTTCCGCCGCCCAGCTCTGCTACTGCTAGTCAAGAGTCCGGCAACATCGATTAAAAAAAAAAAAAAAAGTAGAGGTGTCGAAATGGGTTGACAGTTCGGATTCGGGCTTGACACGAAATTAACTTAATTTGAATTCAATCAACACGTAAGCAACCCGTTTAATAAACAAGTTAGAAAGATCAATGGGAACCCAACCCGCTAGCAACTAGAATAACCCACATGACAGTTAATCTGATTTGTTTTATTTTTTTATTACTTATTAATTATAAATTTTAGGATATTTAATAAAAAAAGAAGATTATACAAACAAATAAAAAATAAAGAAAAAATATAATAAACGAATCATTTTCAAATAAAAAATGGTTTCGTAGGTTAACCAAAATCTGACTTATTTATTGATACGTCATCATGAAATTATCTTGATCGGACACGAATCTCGAGGCAAAACCAAAACGAAAACTTCAAAAATTAAATTTGGGAGCACGTGAACTCCGATTTCAGCGATTTTATAGTCAAACTGAGCGTCTCGGAAATACGAACACAA